TAGGGGGTCCACTACCTAACTCCACCAAAATCCGATAAGGTCCATTCTGCCTGTCCACTGCCTTTAAGAGCCTCTCTATTTTCAAGTCATCATCATTTTTCTACACCTGACGTCTCGTTTTGAATGGTAGGAACAAGTATCTCCAAAAAATAGGATCTCACCTCTTTTTCAGGATTCTATTCTATGGAGACGACACTTGGCTAAGGCTCTTTCCCAACGCCTTTAGTGAATCCGAAGGTGTTACATCTTTCTATGTTAACGACTACACTGAGGTTCACTATCGTAATTTATAAAAGCAAGCTCATCTTGTGGTTGAAAAATTTAGGTTGACAATAATGTTACTCGCCATCTTGATGCAAAACTCAGTGATCCGAGATGGGACATACTTATCCTTCATTATCTGGGTTTGGATCACATAGGTTAGTATAGGCCTTACAAAATCTCTGAGCACGTTCCATTTGCATTCTTTTTGAGGTCACTCTTTGGGTGGAGAATCATCGATTTTGATTAGCAAACTGCGCGAAATGGACAAGATCGCTGAGCAAATCTTTACAACTGTTTTGGTGAGCCGAAATTTGTGTAATTGTGCGACTTTTTCATTTATGGGATGAAAAATAATTTACTAATGGAAATATTTTTTATGGGCGATTTGCAAAATATTGAAAGGATAACCTTAATTAGGATTCTTTCAGGCCCATTCACCTGTTTTGTTAGTTGTTATGGCTGATCATGGAATGACAACTGCTGGTTCACATGGCGGTGGAAGTGAGGCAGAATCATGGGTCCCGATAGTGTTTTTACATTCGAAAATTGGCGTGAAACGTGGTGGAAGTCTCACAGGTGTGTCAAACTCGCAATTTCCATTGTAGTTGGGCAAGAACTCATGCTATTTAGAACTTGCTAAAGTGCAGCAGGTCGATTTGGCGAGTACCTTGCCATATTTTCTGAAGACCGAGATCCCATCGAGCAGCGTTGGTCTGTCACTCGTTCCGAGATTAGCTCAATACTGGAAATTGAACGAGAAAACAATACTGTCTGCTTCACTTCAGTCGACTAAACATTTTGCCAAGTTCATGGAAGGTAATCTGAATTGAGTTTATAGAATTCTGTCAACTGCTTTTTTTTTCAAATGAGCTCAAATCTAGTCTGATACTATTCCATACAGTGTTAATTTTCACAAGCATACGTTATAAGGTCTAATATTTTCACGAAAAAAATTGGAAGTTCCAAGCAGTTGGTTACAAGACCGCTCGTAAATTCAAAAAAGTAACTCCAACGGAAGCTAAAAAAAATATACGCATCCTCATATCTCGATTTAGATTGGACGAGTTTTGAAATTGATGGGGCCTTTCAACTCAGTTTGGAAGGTGCATCTTCTGAGATATAGAAGTGCTCTCTTTATACGGTGGGTGTGCGGCTAATGTGTTTTATAAACCGTTTAGGGGCTGTGAAATTTGAGCGCTTATCTGCACCTATCGTACCCAAACGGGCACTTCTATATATTAGATAAGCGCCTCGCCAAGCATGGCCGAACAATGCCCTTGGAAACAGAATTTATTCACCTAAAACAAGATCTGATGCAGCGTGGATCTTGGTGAACTCTGATGGGGTTTCGGTGACATTTTTGACTATACGGGATGACAAACTGCACCCAAAATTCTCAGAGGTTCTTGCATCGCGAACGAATCTGAACGAGAGCAAGCCATCGTGAAGCGGTGAATAGTTTATATATGATCATCGTTCAGATCGTGCCCTTCAACGTCTCTATGAAGTTGAAGAGAAGCTTCGTTGTCAAGAAGTAAGGGCTTATACAGCCTATGTGCAAAGCAGCCAAGCTGCGCAGATTACTCGGCAAGCACAGAATGAGATAATAAAATCACTAGAACCGACCTTAGGACACCTGGCATATGCTGGCATCTTGCTCCTCATTATGGTGAGAGGATTTGCACGAAAGTGATGATATCAAGTAGAACAAATTTTCTTTAGGGATTCCTTCTCCTCTGTGATCTAACACTGACTGTGGTGAGTTCAGCATCCATGTCTTTCAATCTTTGACAGCATGACCATC